GCCATCGTTTCGCTTATTCGGTGAGGTGTAAAAAGGTCGCAGTTTCCAGCAGCCGCTTGCTCGTGGGGTGCTCATGGACCGTGCCCATCGACGGCTCATGGACCGCGCCCATCGAAAGCCCACTGACGAGACACACAAAACCAGACAGCAGCCGCCCCTTATCCTGCGGAACATTATCTTTGTCCACTCTGTTGTTGTCACGGCGCCCGAACACTGCTAGACTGGGCCAGACAGCAGCCCAGCCTGATCCCAGCCAGCCACGGCCGGGCGCCTGCTACTGGTCTATCGCCAACCAGTAGGCAGGCTGCATGCGCACCCAGCGCAAGCCAATGCCTGTCTGGTCCGCCACAGCGCTATCCTCTGGATTACGTCAGAATAGCAATGCTTCGGGAAGTCGATGTTGACAGGAACGGGATGACGTGACCGTGTGGAGTCTCAACGAACAAAAAGGCCGTCACACGCACCGACACGGACATACAGTGCAGTTCGTCTACACCGCTCCCCCCCGCATGGCCCCCACACGAACCGCGCCAATGTCCACAACCTCGTCCTACTCGTCAAGCCAGCACGGAACTACGACGCATTCGTCAAGCGAGAGCGGGTCCGCCGGTGGCAACCGGCCGTGGCTCAACGTTCTCGCCCGTCAACAGCCGCTGGCCACTGGCATCGATGCGGCGCGGCTGGACAACGTGTGGGCATGGAACGTCGGGCTCACCATTCTGCATGCGGTGCAGGGCGTGGCGATCATGGCGCTCGGTACCGGGTTCCGCATTCCCATCACCGCTGCCTTTCCGGACGGCCCGCCAGGCTCGGCCCTCCCAGCGCCGGGCAAACAGTTCAATGTCGACGTCGGTGTCATGGTCGGCGTCTTCCTCCTCCTCGCTGCGCTCGACCACGGGCTGACGGCTAGCGTCTTCCGCGGGCGGTACGAGAAGGACCTCGCGCTTGGCATCAACCGCTTCCGCTGGATCGAGTACGCCATCTCGGCCACCATCATGATCTCGCTCATCTCGCTCTACACCGGCATGACCCAGTTTGTGACTCAGCTCGGGGTCATCGGATGCAACGTCTCCATGATCATGTTTGGCCATTTGCAGGAGAAGATGAACCCGCCGAGCCGGACCGAGACGACGTACACTCCATTCATCTTTGGCTGCTTTGCCGGCATCATCCCTTGGATCGGGCTCTGGTTCCAGATCATCGGCTCGTCGACCGTACCCGGGTTTGTCTACGGCATCATCATCTCCGAGTTTATTCTCTTCTTCTCCTTTGGCGTCAACCAGCTGCTGCAGTACCTCGGCGTCGGCTGGTGGGCATCGTACGGATTCGGCGAAAAGGTCTACCTCGTCCTCTCGCTCGTTGCCAAGTCGGTCCTCGCCTGGCAGATTTACGGCGGCTCGCTCTCTGATGACGAGTAGTTGCCCGCATCCACTCTGTCGGCAGTATCGCGCTGTAGTAAACAACGTCAAACTTCGCATCACCTCACTCCTGACACGGATGGCGTCTTCTCCGTCGAAGCCATCGAATGTCTCCGCCGCGGCAGCGAGCCCGGACCTCGCCCGGGCCGAGGCCGCCATCGCCGCTGCCCGCGGCTTTAGCGTCCACGTCCTGCACGACACCGCAGATACCTTTGCGTACGTGGCAGTCGGACGGGGTCTGCTCCCGCTCGAGCTCGCCGATGCGGCTTGGGCTGAGGCGAGCGTGCCGGCGCACGAGGCTGCGCAAATTGTCGATGGCTCGCTGGCGACGAGCTCCGGTCCTATGGCGTGGAGCCAGGATGAGGTAACGGTGGGTGGGCGGGTGGTCCGCGAGCCGCGCCTGACCGCGTTCCTTGCCTCGGCGGCCGACGTTGTCTATACCTACTCGGGCAAGGCCAATCTCGGCCGCGCGTTTCCGCCGGCGGTCTCCGCTGTCCGCGCTTGGCTCGCCGACGCGCTCGAGCGCGGCGACGACGAGTACTGGAACGCGTGCCTCGCAAATTGCTACATCGATGGCTCGCAGGCTGTGGGCTGGCACTCGGATGCCGAGGACGATCTCGTCCCAGGTTCACCCATCGTCACCGTCTCGCTCGGCGCCACACGTGGGCTGCACTTTCGCTCTCGCGCCGCCTCTGACCTTTTTGTCGCCCAGAACGACGCCCGACATGCCCGCAAGCACCGCCCGCTCACTGCCGCCGAAGCCGAGGTCCTTGCCACTCCCACACCCACCGATCTTGTCCTGGATCTCGCCCACGGCGACGTGCTCATCATGGGCGGCATGACCCAGAGCCTCTTCCGCCATCGGCTCGTCCGCGACGCCGACTGCCATCTCCCGCGCATCGTCTTAACCTTCCGCGCCGTCGTCCCCTCTGCCCTCGCGCCTCCCCCCCTGTAGCCCATCAGCAGCTTCGTCATCCACGGCAGCAACCCATTACCAGCTGACGGAGCCCTACCCCCCTCGCGTCGTAAGCAGTGCCAAAAGGCAGCGCCAAAGGGCAGCGCCAAAAGGGCAGCGCCAAAAGGCAGCGCCCAAAGGGCAGCGCCAAAAGGGAAGCAGGGGCGCCAGGGACAGACCGCCACCATGCACCCACTCCCCCCCCCCCTATCCCCCTCCCCCCTAT